CGACGCCAACTGATAATAGTAGCAGAGGTGAGCCGTAGGGCATGTGGTATTGATGAGACGTTCAAAAACGCCGAAACGTACACATACCCGCTAGAGATGCCATACCAGGCCTCTTGAAAGGCTTAAAACATTATATTAGACTATATCTAGTTTTTCACCGTCATCTCAAAACAGTCGACTAGAAGATAGTGCAAAAGAATATCAAATAGTTCTTATTGTCATTTTCATCTATAATTTTATATAAAAATGTTGGAGCACATTTAAACATCAGTGTAAATATTCACTGGTGCATGAGCGAGAGCACGAAATTGGTATAAACTTAATTGTTCCTTCTGCTGACTTTTCGACGCGTTTCGTCTCTTCAGAGCCGAACGATCCGAGCCGACGCTCCACAATCGCTTGGTATGGCTTTCTTTGTCGTTTGAGTTGTATTTTATTCGGGAGTACCACTCAAATGAAAGACTTGCTTGACAAAACTCCTTATATATAAGATGGTTGTGCCAGTGAATATTAAACCGACTTTTGTAGGATGCACTGTTCGCTCAAAAACAAAACATTATTAGCGGACAATACATCGCAACGAGGAGAAACAACTGTGGAGCATCGACTCAAATCAATAAGCTTTAAAAACACGAAACGCGTTAAAACGTCAACTGTAGAAATAATCTTTGATCAGCTTCGTATTTTCCCTTAATAACCAACGAATATGTGATGGATTTATGATGCCGAGGGCTGACGAAACTTGGTTTTTCAAGAATTTATAAGGATCTAAAAGCAGGAATGTATGGTTGGAATGTAATTAATCCAAGTATTGATTCTTCGCTATTTGAATTTTGACAGGCCTGACGATCACAAGAGTGACAGGTGATTTATGGAAACGTTTCCTGGTTAGTTTGAATTTTGTCCAATATATTGACTAATTCTACCACTTCTATGAGAATTCAATATATCATATCTTTTGTTTCGAGTGTTTTCTTAAGACCACAGCTCAAATTTCAATATGGCTGGTAATCATTATTTGAGCCACGCATGTCAGTGGTCTGTTAATGTAATGATGATTACCAGGCATATTGAAATTTGAGCTGTGGTCTTAAGAAAACACTCGAAACAAAAGATATGATATATTGAATATACTAGCCACGAGCATTCGAGTGTACAACACTCTGTGTTTGGTGAGTTTTTTACCGGACATAGAGTGTAAATCGTACGTCGTCGCTAACTCTTATTGTGGGGACTGGAGCACCCACAGAGATTAGCAAAAGACGAGAGAGGGCAACTGCCCGACTGACGAGATCGCAGATCGAAACACGTGTATCGGGCTCTATAAGTCAGCCCTCATTAACAGACCACTGACATGCGTGGCTCAAATAATGATTACCAGGCATATTGAAATTTGAGCTGTGGTCTCAAGAAAACACTCGAAACAAAAGATATGATATACTGAATATACTAGCCACGAGCATTCGAGTGTACAACACTCTGTGTTTGGTGAGTTTTTTACCGGACATAGAGTGTAAATCGTACGTCGTCGCTAACTCTCATTGTGGGGACTGGAGCACCCACAGAGATTAGCAAAAGACGAGAGAGGGCAACTGCCCGACTGACGAGATCGCAAGATCGAAACACGTGTATCGGGCTCTATAAGTCAGCCCTCATTAACAGACATCTATGAGAATTATTGCAGCTTCAATAAGTCACTGATAATCACTAAAGCGTAATTAACCCTAATAACGGTAGGTATCACGTTTTGCATTTCTTTAGAAAAATTTTTCACTCAAAACTACAATACACTTTCGCACAGGATTTTATCCTGTCACGATGACATCACGGTGTCCTGGGTGTCGAACAAGAATTGTGTAGCAGAGAAATAATTCTTGCAGGTCCATCAAGTATTTCTGCGCAGTTTAAAGTTCATAAAATGACTGGCATTGGCATGAAACATCTTTTTCCTATGCTAACGAGTATTGTGGCACAGTTATAAATCCACCCCAATATGTTTGATCATAATATATCTCGTAATCATTTATATCACCAGTAATCCATTCAGCCAAGAGAGAGTTCGAGCTCATAAGTAGAAATTCCTTCTTTCTGTTCGTTTCTATTGTCGACCGTGGATGGTGAGTGATCGTTTGAGAAGCACAGAACAGAGCTCATGCACATTCGAGGTTATGCACATTTGCTGATTTGCTAAGAACTCTAGCATTGATCAGCGCAGAGCGTTGTACTTTAAGTGGTTGTGTTATCATTGATAGCTTGTCGATATCTTCGCAAGTATTTACTGTATTTTTCATTGATGGGTGTTTGGTTCGTACTTCAATCACAGTCTCCGTAGTTCTCCTGTTACTTGATTTTATGTCTTTGGTCGAATCATCTTGCATGATGCAAAGGTTTATATCAACTAGAATACCAGTGAACATGTACTTGAACATGATTACGAATGTAGGAAAAGTATAAGTATACGAACTTAAATCACGCTGAGGACCATGTGGGACGTTTCGTCCCACACGCGCGACTTCAAATCTCTTTAGTCACTGTGATGGCGGCGTCGCGCCCCGTGAGAAAGGCGGCAAATCTCGTTAGAAGGCAGACTCCAGACAGCATGATGGATGCGGGGAGACGAACCCAGATGGCTCTGAGAAAGCATTTCCATGCATTTTCACCATGAAATGATGGAGTTTCATTGAAAAACTTTCCACAGAGATATCCTCAGCAAAGAGAACGTCTATATCTTCCATATTTCATCTACATTTCTTGTGTTTCAACGACAAAACTACATCGCTAAATGATAACGTGGTGATAATGACCATGATAATGAAAATGATAATGCTTTTGATAATGCTAATGATTACGAAAGTGATAATAATTGCCACCCTTTCGAGCTGTTTTTGAGATGTGATAAGGGCACTTACATAGCGCATTCCATTCGATGCATAGACATTGCACTGACCAACAATCGGACTGGTAGCTGGTAAGATGAATCGTACTTTCATTCGATAGTGATTGTGATGATATTAATGATACTGATGAAATAATGGTAGCCAAAGTAATAATGATAATTATAGTGATAACGATAGTGAAAGTCATAATGATGACGATGACAATGATCATAGTGATAGTGATTAGTGATGACAGTGGTGTGAATGATAGTGATAGTGATTATTGATAGCGATGATGGTGATAATGATCACAGTGATAGTGATAGTGGTGATAGTGGTAGGGATGATAGTGATATTGATAGTGATAGCAATGATAGTGGTAGTGATTATGATAGTATTAGTGATAGTGATGGTGATAGTGGTAGCCTCCTAGTAAGTGGTTGTCCATACACAGGGTGTACTCTCTGCCTTTGTTGTGACTAATTCCTGATTTTCTTCTCTAAGCATAACGATTAAGGATATGTTGTAACTTTCAACTTTCCCGCGGTCACAATCACCTACCGAGACGGCGGCCTGGAATGAAGGCGCTTGCTGCAAGAGAGCGCAAGCACAACGACAGTTTCGCACAGAGACGCATATGCCCCGGATAGCGAGTGCCGCGAACGCGACGGCGCGACGCCCCCTCCGTATCAAAGGTGGGCTCCGGACTGATATACGAGTAAGAAGCCTATCTCCTAAATCTAACGCTCCATTGAGAAAAAAATGCGCATGTTCCCTTTTCGTCTACGTATAACCTTCTATTCACCGCTCAAAATGCGTGAAACGCCTCTTTTTAACATTATCGAGAATCTATTCTGTTTTTCCAACTTTTCTTTTTTTAGCTGCAATGTCATTCATGAATTGTGGCTGGGTTGGCAAGAGATTTTCCGGACTTGTTCGTTTTTACTGGATATTTTTCATGCATTTAGGTTTTTGTTTTTGCTATCGTTTAGAGCAGCTTCTTGAGGTTAGTTTAATACATAACACTTGTACATTTGTTTTGAGATGGAATTCTTCTGAGAGAAAAAACGATTGTTGATGTTATACGGTTATCGTTGGGATTCAAGTGTTGCTTCGGCATTCAATGATACTGTGTAACATCAACAATCGTTTTTCCTCTCGGGACAATTCCATCTTGAAACAAGTGTAGGAGCTTTATATATCAAAATAACCGAAAGAAGCTGCTATAAACGATAGTAAGAGCAGTAAGTTAGATGCATGAAAAGTAATTAACAAAAACGAAAACGTGTCGAGAATTTCCTGCCAACTCAAGAATCTTCTACAGATCGTTTAGCGTAAATATAGGAAAGCAGGAAAGTTTGGAACCTGAAACTCAAAGAAAAGGTTTGTAAGTGGAAGAAGATCTGATCAGTCCCTTTTTATTAAAAAAAGGGATACTAAGAAATGCACTATATCGAATTAATTTACGAAATAACCCATCACCAATACAAGGACAAGAATAGGACGACACAAAACACTACTTTGTTGAGTTCTGAAAGAGCATCCTAATCCTATTTGGCAAGGAAGAAGAGAAGAAAGGAAAAAAACGAAAAAAAAATACTTTGTAAAGAGGTAAAGTTGACCACAAGTTGAAATGATTCAATTGCCTTTTGCGTATGATATTTGCAAGAGTCATAGTTGCAGAGGCTGTAAATGTTATGTTGACTTTGGGTATTAGTAAGCGTTCAACAGATTCGTGAGAATATCAGAAATAGAACAGAATATTCAAGCTAAGACTGCGTTGCTTTTTTTTTTTGAAATTACTGCGTTGATAAAATCTTTAATTACAGAAATAGAAAGCATGGTCCTTGTGGTTTCGTAAATAGACATAGATATGAAGGAAGTAAACAGTGAGATTTAGGACGACTTTTTATATTGTCGAGTTGATTAACATAAGTGCAGAGTTATGCAAAAAATGCTCATCAATGCAGATCAATAATTACCACTAAATATTGAAATTCGAAATCAGACTTCAATTAATTTCATATCATAATATGCATTGATACGATAAAATCCCTTTGATTTAATTGCTTTTAATGGTGGCGTGATGTTATAGATATACTCAATGATGATGTGCAAAACGTTCACGTCAGGTCGGAATTCGAACCCGTATTTCACACTTTCCAGGAGCGCGTGCTTTAACCCGTTGCACTATCGACGCGCGTTTGCCACCACTCTTTTTAAGCTATAACACATTTATCTGTCAGCAGCCAACCGTCAACGGTTTTGCCGAGGTAGTCGATTTTGATATTGAACCCCGTCACGCTGACAGATATTGCATAATGGATGATCAAACAGCATTCTTCTTATTTACCGCTTTGGTGTGATAGTTGGTAGAGATATATCCAAACATGAAGAATAGTTTTCTATTTTATGAATTTCGATGTATTTTTTCTGTGTAATAGCAGTAATTACCGAAGGAAATAACTTCACTTCGTCGTTCAATTCCCAAAGAAGAAACTATGACCCTCGATGAGTGGGATAACACCGCTAGCGCTATACGTCTGAAGTACAGGTGAGAATAGCAAACCGGGGAATTGTTGGTAGAAAAGAACTATTGCACAAGTAGAGCAGAATTTCCGGATCAGAAACAAAGCCATCATTGCTGCTGAAGTACTGTTTTTCAATTGAAGCTTCATATAATGTGTGTTAGAAATCACGAAATCAGTCCAATGCAATGAAATGAGGCGCCAATAACGATCGCTGCTATCTCCGTTTCAACTCCCGCTGTCACCGAAACTCAATGCCTTTGATTATTCGGCGGTCGTTGAATTGATAATAGGTTGAACAATTAAAGTCGTTGTTAACAATGTGATCCGTGCGAGTCAACTAAAGGCTAGGACTCTTACGCTTGACGAATAGAAAACATAGCGCAGTTTGTTAAGGATACGATATATCAGCAAACGAGATAGTAAGCAAGGCGCTAGTTCGGATCCACCTTTCGAACACTCTTGCAATAAATTTGCGATCCCCTTAGAGAATGCCTCAACTTGGCTACCTTCACGATCGATTGCAAGGATAATTGTCTCGACTAGTATTCGATGACAATCATAAAAAAGACGAAGTCATCAAGCAACAGTCGTTGTATTAAGAGAATGTTTAAACATCTTTGCGGAGGATGAGTGCGAGGAAACAAATCGAGTGCAAGAAGTTGATAGAGTAGGCACACTGATTTGTGATATTGGTTTGAGTAAAATATACAAGACTGAACAAACAAATTAGCTGAGCAGCTTAGAATCGGTCTAGTTTTGCAGCACCTTTACCTAATGGCACGCTACTTCACCGCTATCTCTTGATCAGAGAATTGCAGTCTACATTATTTGTTCAAGATGTCCAGCTAACTCTGAACGCCTGTTATGTAACATCCTGCAAGGTCGACAAGCAGGGTGTCAAGTATCTCCGCGAATTAAAAAAAGTCGCTAGTTGTCTGTGGTATAAACTGAGTCCTCGTTATAGCTATCTTAAAATCGGGTGTAAGAAAAAGTTAGCTTCAGCAAAATCGCAGTTGAAGGAAAATTTAGAGGGCATACAAGAATTCTTATGACGAACCATCTATCCTCACTTATGTGCCTTGAATTCTGTGAAAATAGGGAGCCTGAGATAAGCAAATGATTTTCCTGATTTTCGCCAGTGTAGCCCACATGACAAAATGACCTGATTTTGAAAGGTATCTTTCTCATCAGACATTATAAAATTGCAAGGTATGAAATTCTGTGGCAAATTTAGGTATCAACTTAGAGAGCAATTTTTTTGCTTTATTCGCAAACCAATGAGTAGTGGTAGTGACGATGGTAATCACGAACACTGTGGGCTCGACACCGCAATGGCTTCAACAAAACTCTCATTCTTTTGGGGTCGGAAACTGATACCAGACTCGTCTGGAAATAGATCGCTTCCGTAAGCTTCAGTGAGAACGCTCTACCGCAACTATCCAGAGACCTGAAGAAAGAGAATCGTCTGGACCAGAATCCAACGGCATTCATAAGAAAAATAAAAATCCTCAAATCAGGAGTGATAAGTCTGCTAAACTGAGATGAATAGAGCAGGTGTTGGGATCAGCGCAGTGGATATGAAAACGGATTTTGATAAGAAAATTCGTAAACCTATAATCAACAATCTGTATCGGACTCGTATCTTGAAGTATTGAGTGATATTAATAGTTTTTGATGCCCTTAGATTAAATGACAGTAACGTCTCCCATGCAGTGCCATTTATATTAAAAACATTACTGGACTTCGTACTAGACGATAGAGAAAAATTCCTAACATTTTTGCGGCTTTTTATAGAGGCTGATAATGAATTTATGTCAACAAGAAAAAAGTCCTCTAGTGATAGAGCACAAATTTATTCTAGTGAACGGCAAAATATAAATTTCAGAGTGTGGCGCAATTAGAGGAAATTGAGAAAATATTTAATTGTTCTAAATATCACTATGAGATTGTTATAGCGATGATCACCATATGATTGAACTTTTGCAAGAACATCAGACAAAGAGTATCTCATTTTTTATGAATCCTTACTGAGCAAACTCTGTCAATTACTAAGTCATTCAACCACAGCAAATGGGCACTACTGAGGCCAGTCGAGTGAGTATTAAGTCAATGGACCGGCAGCCTATGCAGTTGACAAAGCAAGAAATATGGACTATCACTCTATTAAAACTAGGTTTCACCATTTTTTCTCGTTTTTTTCTGGTGATCATTTTTTTATATAACTAAAAAGAACATAATAACACTGTTCATGTTTTTGTTCACCACTCAATTCTCTTAGTTATATAAGAACATAATAACACTGCGAAAAAAGCAGTGAAAATACTGTAATTTCGAAGTATTAGTAATTAGAATAGCTATCAGCTCAACTGGGTTTATAAAGCGAAATCGCATACCCGACCAAACCTGCTAAAGGTGGTGGCTGATAGCTAACATTGAGATGTAGAAGAATGAGTGGCTGGGCAAATGTGCCTCAGTGGTGTAGTGGTAGAGCACGCGTCCCCGGATAGGATGAAACGTGGGTTCGAGTCCCAGCTGAGGCCGTGTTTTTGTTCACCACTCAATTCTCTTAGTTATATAGGAACATAATAACACTGCGAAAAAAGCAGTGAAAATACTGTAATTTCGAGGATCACTTTTTTTCTTTATCAAAAACTTGGGAGGAGAGCATAAATTAACTCACATTAATGAGAATACGCAGTCGAACATGTCTTTTATTTTCCTTTTGAACATTCGAGGAAGCCATCTCAGTTGGACTATCGCTATGATTCGATGTCACCTTATGCTCTAATTTCTGCTCATTTCTCAGAGCCTTTATTGAGAATTCCTCAGGTTTGTAGACTGAAACTGACACAATCGAGGTTGGAAAAGTTATCTTTATGAAAACTACTTCAAGCGAAAAGGATTTATATCGTAGCTCACTTATTTGCAAGAATTTCCTATTTGGAGCGTACCCTCAGGCAGCATATTTATAGGTATAATTGTACAATGATCATACTTTATCGATAAAGGATATTTATCAAAGAAGAATCTTAGATCAGTAATTGTATAGTATAGATTAAAATTTTAGAGGCATGGAGATGAAAACGACAATCTGAACTTACTTTGATAATACAAGTAATGCAAATAATACAAGTAATACAAGTAATACAAGAATAAATTTATAGTAGAACCAAATGCAATATCTGAGAGGCTAGAGAAATTCATAATACTTGTGGAATGTCTTTCACAAAACACGCTGTCTTCACGACAACGATGTAATTCAGTGGCACCAAAATGACACTACAAGGCCATCCACCGACAATAATTATTGTATCTGAGCTCGAAATTTCTGCGTAGACTGCATCCTGATTTGCACTGAGATCATAGTTACCTCATACAGAAAAAATCGGTCTTTTAGGAAAACAGTTAATACAGATCATTGTGGGAATCAAAGGACTTATTACGTGAAACGACTGTCATTACTATGTATTATTACTGCTTTATTTTACAAGATCGTCATTACAATATATAGTGCGGATTTCAGTACTTACTCCCTTCATTCGTATCGTCGAATTCTCCACAAAGGGGTTCGAACATTTCACAGTTGCTTGGGGTGCTGCCTCAGCAATTCGCCTCCTATTTGAATGTCTTAGAATGCTAGTCGGGACAGTTCTTCTTGCAATCCTGTAGGCAGCTAAGCTAAGGATCTCACCAAAGCATTCCTTGATTAGTTGCAGGAGTAATAGGAATGGTGATTGACCAGCACTTTACTTTCTGATCACTGCGCTACCTCGGTGCACATATTGAATTATTTTTTAGCATTTTATAATAGGTCTCGTTTAGACTTGTTATGAACTAGTTAGGCTGAGTAGGTTGTCTGCAAATTTAATTTCGCCAAACTTTGAAGAAATTGAAACAGTCGAAATGTCTGCTGTTGAAAATGATAAAATGTTCTATAAACAGCCTCATGTTTATTGAGGAAAGAAATAGTAAACAGTGAAATGCTTGACAGAGGGGACAGTTTAGAATTTGAACATATCGCATCAATTTCACTATTTCGTATTAAGGCTAACGAGCTGGTGTGCTGTTGTAGGTAGTAACTCATATTAGGGTGCTTGTTGGTTGCGGGTGTTTTACAAAATTAAGATGGTCTATGATTCAAAGAAAAATTCGTTAGTCAAGCTATTCATGTCTCCAGGGTCGACATATCTCAATAGTTCTATCTAGAAAGATGAAAATAATCATTTGATGTACTGGTAGAACGCGAAATTCCTGTGCAGTAGTGTTGTGGCCACATGAGATTCTTTCTGTTTAGCGCTATGGGTTTGCGTAACTCACTGCTTGGTGATACATCTCAGTATACACACAGTCCTTGGCTGTATATCGTAGCTAGGCCAAATAAACCTTGCATACCGAACAAACTGGAACTAGACACCAAGAGGATACGCCCAATGACTTTGATACATCAGCACACCCAAAAATGATAGTACAGGGAAAATATGCATTCCGTAGCCTTCAAATGCTACAAATGTAGTCGAACGAGTGGCCAATCCATGAATGATTGATCAGCTCGCGTGATGTTCGTTACACTTCCTATGAATTTACTTTACTTTCATATGGAGTTCCTTTATGAGTCTGCTTTGACTTACAACAGACAGTTCAATGAGACGTTAGCCCGCAGTAGACACGTTAACCACGCTTGGCTCTCTAAGGTAAGACTTACCAGAAAAGCATAAAATAACCAGTGTAATATATCTAATCTAAACTCTTTTCTTATCGTCTTTTGCTTGAAGTGAGATAATAGTGTAAAACTACATTGGCAGGCGATGATCATTCTTGACAATTGGACGCGGTGCCTCTCTATAGTCGCACCAACCAATTAGGTGTAAGAGCCTAGTGCAGGTTAAACAGCCTTCTGTTGTAAGTTCTGTAGCTCAGTAACACTAGAAAATTACAGATAACGAATATGCTGACGAATAAAGTATGGAATTCATCGTATAGAGTTCATTAACCGACTCCTTATCTATGCAATTAGTTCAATTCTATTCGCAGTACCATAATAGTTACTCTTTGCATTTCTGGCTTACACAGAAACTTTCATACAATTAAGGAATCAAATTGGTGTTGTTATTCTTCAGAAGAAATCTGGCATTAATTTAGCAAACCCGAAAAGACGGAAGAATTGGTCAACTCAAAAAGGGATTCGGACCAAGTTTTATTTTGTTGCGCTCCTCTAACTATATCGACACATGCGTTTTCACAACTCTTTCACTTGTTATAATCCAGTACATGAGCTCAGATCAGAATCAGCCAATTCATTTAGTAGATCTAAAACAAAATCACAGTGAAAACTAAAATTGGCCAAAGATATATTACGACCTAATAAATCCTTCAGCCTAAATGAGAAATTTGTTTCTTTATGGGGAAATAAATTTTCGCGTTGCAAACCAAATCTAAACACGCGCAAGTTTTCCAGAAATGAAAATAAGAGTGAATCAAGCAGGAAGAGAGTGTAAAAAAGACTTGAGCCTAAAAATTTTATACAAATTATGAAGAGATAAGGACTAAATTCATTATTTAGGCACTTCATTCTACTATAGAGAGGAAGAAGAGATTGCAGTAGCATGGACCGACCATCATAAAAGGGTTGTTCGTAAATAGGCTCATAGGAACAACATCGGAAAATGTTTAATCTTTAGTAAGAACTTTCAGAGGACAAAAGCAATATCACTGTGAAAATTCAAACAGGAATGACATGGAGATTCCAAATCGTCGTAGTCTTCGCCAACAACTTATCAAAAAGAATAAACTACTTACTAATTATGATTGCATGCACAAAGATCAAACGTTGAAAAACACCGTCAACTGTGACAGAAGTGATTCAATCATTGACGCATTACGGTCTCTGCAACTTTTGTGGACATTCATATTCTTGAAGAACCACTCTGCATTCTTCACACCAATGTACTTCCAACAGCGCTCGTGATATAATAATTTCTTATTTCAACGAGTTACTAATGCGTTGCATTCATTAGTTTTTTTCACGCAAGGCAGAACGAGTTCGTAGGAAAGTGTTTATTGAATCTTGAAAGTCTTAGCAGAGTGAAACAGTTTCTTTTCTGTCATCGTCTTTCCAGAAGTAGCTCGCGCGCAACGTTGATTATTGGTCTGCTTCTTTGAAAATGAGAAGAAAAGTTTAGAAAAGTAATCTTTATTCAAAGCTTCACGTGGTTGGTATCTTTTTCCCAACCAATTGTTATTCTTTCCGGTCGATAGGTTTTCTCGCTTGCTAGTGGCTGACGTTTTGGCAAATACCAAATACGCCTTCTTCAGAGCCGTGCAATCTAGTCTAGGAAACTTTTTCTAAGGAGTAAATCTAGGGAGAAAAAAAGGAAAGAAAAAAAAAGGGAATGTCTAGACTAAATTGCACGGTTCTGAAGAAGGCGTATTAGCCGAAACTCCAGCCACTAGCAACCGAGAAAACCCATCGACCGGAAAGAAAAACAATCGATTGGGAAAAAGATACCAATCCCGTGAAGCTCTGAATGAAGATTAGTCTTCTAAATATTTCTTCTCATTTTCAAAGTTTTATGTTCTTGACATGGCGAGGTTTCAAGAAAGTCGGTCTTTCGAGTTGGTCAGCTTTTGTTGACTATATCATTATAGAGAGTGAAAACGTAATACTTTCGACACTGACTAATCCTGTAACGATGCACCACTCGACTTTATTAGTAGCTTCATTTTTTCTGTTAACTAAGCGTGTAGCAAAGGTTTACAAGAGAAATTCTATTCATAGTGCCGCCGTATGTGACTGAAGACGTACCATAAACATTGATTAGTAGGACTAATAATGTGCATTGAGGTGTTATTATCCTACTAGACAAGTCTTGCAATCTTGACGGCATCGGAGAGACGAAAAACATGCTAGCCTTGAAGACAGCATCGAACTTCAGATTACAGTGTGCTGTAGACCATATCTAACCATTGCTAAATTATCCTCTAAGCATTGCACTTGCGACAAAAGCGATGGTCAGTGATTTCAAGCTCATAAAGTACAATGCGCCTTTCTTTTCATAACCCTTGAGAACCTAAAATCATAGAAGTATATAAAAATGATACCTCCAGCTACAGATAATATTCAGAGTTCATGATTAGGTTTTCAGTCAACACAGTACATTTTTCTTGAACAACGCAATGGGTGGAACAGTTTAGTAGTAGGGAACGAATCTACAAATACGATTTTTACAGCTTGTCACTCCCATTGATGTGCTGAATAATGAAGGGCATTATCTTCTAAAAAAGAGCTATTGATTTGCATTGTTAACATACTGATGTACATGTTTTGGAAAAATTCTGATTATCCACGGCATATGTTGAAAGATAAATAAGTCACATTTATATGTGCTTGGCTCTTTTTCAGTAAACTCTCGAAACAACGAAAAAAAAAATGAGCGCGTAGTAAAGCTGTGGCTTCAGATGCCTCGAAATACAAACGTGGTCGATGGTTCGATCTCGCGCTCTGGTACAACCAAGCCTGTATCAACAAATTTTTGTCAGACTC